AACACACAGAGTTTATTATGGCAAAAGCAGATCGATGAACACACAGAGTGACGCGTGAGTACCGGGTGGGCCAGGCGTTTATTCACTCAGTGGCTGGGGACGCAATTAGTGGTCAGTTGGCCGGGTCTGCTTGTTGTTATAGCTCCTCCATTGTGTTCCCCCCCTGCAGGTGACACTCCAGAGCCTCTCTACCCTCCTGAGCTTTCAGCGAGATAGGCGGATCTGTGTGCCAGACCATGGCCTTCCCATCAGCCCCCTCTGCTCTATGGATTGTCAGCTTATTGACTGCACTATTCGCAGCTGCGGTTCACAGCAACATTGTCAATGGTAAGCACATCTCTCTCTCTCTCCCTCTTCAATTATCTTTCTTCCATTCTCTTGCTGTCTCTCCTGGGGCCTCTGACCTCTCTGACCCTCCATTTTTGCCTACATTGAAGGTGTCCTAACTGTCCACGTGTAATTTCCTGTATTATGGAAAAGAAAGCAAAGAACCATTACTAAGCACATGGAACCCCCATTTCACTGGAAGTTTTATTGTTTTTTTTGTGTGGAATGTGCATGGCTTGCACGGGCTGCAGCTCAATGTCCGTGAAAACTCATAAGCCAATGCAGAGGTGATACAGTTTCCCTCGTGCTTCTTATTCCTTAATATAGAGCCCTGCAAATTATTTGCACTACTTTAAAGGTGTGGCATGTATTTGTGTTTGCTTCCCTACAATTGAGTCAATATTCACTGCAACTGCAGCGGCAAATCCATATGAGGGTATGTCTCTAACAGATTTGCAAAATTTAGAGACTAAATGCATCCCCAAAGCATAAAGTTGGTAGCAATCTGTCTGAGGCCTAAGATGCAGTGTTGATTTCTACTGTGCATTTTTTTTTATATAGTAGGTCAATAAATTGATCTTACCTTACCATCAAATCTAGAAAGAGATGTCTCATTCTACTTTGCAAGATGTGGCAAGCTCAGTTTGACTGGATGAAAAAGGCCCGTTGAGATCATGTTTGAAGGTTGGCCACAATTGTGAGTTGGATTTGGGTATTGGCTTTGACTGAGTCATTCTAACACATAAATATGCCTTGGTCTAAGCCTCTTAATTGAAAATCTGGCCATAAGTTTATTTAACTCTGTCCTGCTGTCAGTATAATCTGCTTCCTGTCAGGATTCTTTTGCAGCTTTTAGCAGGTTTTATTCAAGTATTTCTCTGTATGTACCTCAATCCATTCTCGAATTAACTCTAGCCTGCTTGACTGTGCCTTGGGAAGAAATTTTCCCACAGCATGATGCAATGAAGATTGTATGCCAGGTTAGTTTCACATTAAATTCAACATTTTGTAAATAAAAAAGTCAAATTCCAATCTCATCTTCTCAGGGCTGCTTGTTTTACTTGTTGCTTTTTCCCTACATAGTCCATCCCAACCCTGGCCTTCAGGGCTCTCCATCCTCCATATGTAAATGTTTTCTTCTTCCAACTTATGTTATTAAATGTGTTTGCATACCCTGATGTCATGTTAGAGAGCTGATGCAGTTGGTTCAATCAGGTGTTCTGCATTAGGGTAACAAAGGCATGAAGGACAGAAGAGACTTAGGAATTGGGACGGGAACAATTGCTCTTATATGAAGCAAGATTTGCTCACATCCTCTATAAAATCTGCTACAAATTTTGCTACATTTTATTTTGGGGTTCTTGAGTGAAGGGGTTTAATCAAAACACAAAACATATATATTTTTAATTTGTATTAAGAAAAGAAAAAGAAAATCAGATACAACTTAATTTCTATATTACACCTACACTTTAGTCGGTGTTGGTCAGCCAATCCTGTTATGATGCAATGCAGGTGTAATGTGACTTAATGTGAAAAAATAATCAAGTGCAACTTTTTGAAGCGACCAGAGAAAGCAGACCTTTAGCTCTTAGCATCTTGCTTTATTTTTCCTATCCACTTCAAACCATCTGTCTATTATAAAGTTTCATGCAACCTGGGAAGAAAAGACTATCATCTTGTGCTTTCACAGATTAGAGTCAAACACATTTCCACACACATACAGCCTAGATACAGAACACTCGTCATGGCTAAAACCGTAACTGCGGCTGAGGCGGATGGTAAGAGAGGATTTGATGAGAGAAGCACTTTGTAATGATATCATCCCTGCTGCGAGTACCAAGTGAGCAGGAATACACTGTCCAATGTGCTTCCCAATTACATAACTCTCAAGTGACTGCCTGCCGGTAATACAACCTTCAGAGGGCAGCTTGTACCCGACACAAAATGGCGTTGCACGATTGGCTCTCAAGCCACTGAAAATTGATTGACATAGGTAGAATGTTGTTGCCATTTTCTCATTATAGTTGGGATTTAATTGCACTGAGTGTTTGGCACATAACTGGCAAAGAATTCAGCAGGCAAGGAGCCATCTAAGAGACGTTTTCTGATTTGCATTTGGAATACATGCTCTCAAGAGCCCTCTGCATTCAATTGATCTCTCCCACACTTTTTGTGCAATCATGCCATATTTGTGGAAGTATGATGTGCAAAACCACATATCTTGGAGACTTCTTTGACATATTTTATCCATATGTTTTGATTTTTTTTTGTGCAAGGATTTTCAATGTGTTCCCCTTGTGGTCAGGAAACACTAGTGAGTGAGGAACAGTCTGGATGTGCTAAGATGAATAAGAAATTCTAATGAGGTGCTTAAAGGAGAAGAAAAGGCCAAATATTCACCCAGACTAGGGCTCTGATGACAGAATATCAAACTCTTATCACCATGCTGACCCAGACACATGTAGGTGGTCATTGAAACCCAGGTAGAGGTTCATTATTTGGGCCCCAAAATGATTTTGGCTCCCGCTCAGAAGCGTGTCACATTTGATTAAGGTGTGCCCATAGGGAGGCCTGCCCATGCGTGACCAATTCTTGCTTTAGTTTCACCTGAGCACTGTTTTACATTATCATGTCAGTCAACGAGAGTAATTAAGCCTGAGACGTCTGACAGCATTTAGGAGATGAGAAAACACGTCAAAGAGTGAAAGTGAAGCGGGGGCTGAGAGATGGAGCGCTGGCCTGTACCACAGTTTTAATCTGCATGTTTTAATCGTAGTTGTCTCGATTTCTTTTTGATAAAACTGTCATTATCGAATTGGCCCTATCAAATCCACTTAATGCACCTGCTTTGAAATGAGTCAGATTTAACTGAAAAGCTTTTTTTTTTCAAGAATACTAAAATAATAGAATTACATTTCAGAAAGGGAATACTATCTCAGTGTGTAGAGTTCAAAATTAAATTACACATTTTATTGTTGACAAAAATATTCATATTTATGTACATACTGCTCCTTTTATTGTTTCTTTTATCTCATCATTCATTTAGATTATAATCTTATAGTCTGTATGTTTTGAGTGTGTAAAACCAAAGTCAAATACTTTGTTTGTCCACATTAGTGTCATTACTGAATCCACTCTTCAATTAAAGGCATTTAACACTTATAATTGTCCCAAAGGTGTTAAAGCTTCCCTATCATTGACTAAAACATGTTTTGACTGGAGACTTAAGATGGACGGACATGTTTGGATAGGATCCCAGTTGCGCTATACACTTTTAATTTGTTTGTTGTAAATTTCACATTTCTTTAGCAGGTGCTCAAAGTTTAGGATATTAAAAAAAAAAAATCCTAGTTTTGATTTGAGCCTAAACCTGATTTCTCTAATACTGTTTGTTTACCAATGCTTAATTTGAACATGCATTCTGACATGTTTTACTGTTTTGTAACTCCTGAATGATGTCAGTTGCACAGAATTTTAGGAACAGGAAAATGAGAGTTTCATTTTGGGTCGCATATTTGTGGCGAGTTAATCCACAAATGCCATTAAGAACATGAGGACTACAATTAGTTCAAAACGTTCTTTTTAAATCAGAAAAAGGTTTGTGCTACTGGTAGTTTAGGGCCAACTTTAAAAGACAGATGAAGCTTCAACCCATTGAGTTGGAGGTAATAATGATAATAGTTACTGTACTATTCAGCTTAAGCTGCAAAGCGGGAAACCGTGCATCACCCTCTCAATGCCACTGCCAACACTGGAAAAAATGAAAATCTAAATAAGTAATTTTTATTACTTATTTTATTTATTATTACTTACTTTTTGAATAAGGTAAAAGAAGCATTCTGACAATGGAACAAGACAATTTACTCTTAAAATAAGAAAACACAATTGCATTTTCTAATTTCAAGTGCATATTATCTAATTATTTTATTTTAAGACTGAAAATACTAATTCCATTGGCAAACTATCTAATTTACCTGCTAAAATTAAAGGTAAATACACTTAATCTAAGAAATTTGTATTTATCTGTAGATTGTTTTTCCAGTAAAACCAGTCGCTGCATTTTCACTTCCCCACCAGTAGGGGGCTGTATCCAGGGGAGAGCAGGCCTAGGCCTTACCTCTGATGACACTGAGTTGGTCTAACCTTCCATATTCAACCTGAATCCAGCTTTCCTTAGAAGTAATGGCAACTTCCACATTGATGGCAAAGGATAAGTCAAAAAGAGTTATATTTGAAAGGATTCCTCTTCACTAGAATATACTTCCTGTGACATTGTTTTCACAGAGACATAGGAATGTCCCGATACTACAATTTCAAACTCGATATTGATATCCAGGAAAGATTTTCAATACTGAATACCGGTTAGGGAGATACAGCTGTTTGATTATTCTAGTTGGCACAGTCAAGCAAAGTTCCCCTAAAATCCTGTGGAGCTGTTTTTAGGTTGCCAAATATCATATATATCTAATTATAGAAAATCGATAATAAATGTGGGATTTAGACCTTTACTTCATGTGACTGGCGAGATGTGGAACAGCACCATCAAGCCACTCCCACATGATGCAGCCAACAGTCACTGATCAGGGTAGGATCCAACCATGAAGGATCACCTGATTCTGTGTTATCAGAGACATCTTCAAACCTGCATTAGTAAGAATGCAAAAAGAAGAATCTTTAGCAAAGGAACATGACTTCCTGTTTTAAGTGGGCGGGACTACAGTGATTCAACAAATGAGGATTTATTTATTGACAGTCTGAGATAACATAGATGGTGAAGTAAAGTTTTGATCTTGTTTTTAAAGGTTATTACATGATGAATATTCTATGTTTAGAAGTAGGGTTGAAACAAATATTCGTATTAATCGTGATTAATCGATTATTTTAATAATCTTCAACTAGTTTAGTGAATGATTAATCGTTAACTGGAATAGAGAGACTGTAAAACATGCCTTTAGCTGACAGAGAAACCCACTTAGAGCAGTAATTATACCAAAATAAAA